AGCCTCTCTCTGTAAAGACTGAAATAAAAAAGGACATTAAGAAACTATTCCTTGTCTTTATACTTTCCTGGGCAACCAGCTGGGAGCTGCCGCAGCATCTTGACACTACCCTGCTCAACAGCTGTTGGGTGGGAAGCTGTATTTACTATGCTGGGCTCCCCACTTATGTGCATTTCACTTATGCACACTGGGACCTGGAACATGGTCCCCACATAAGTAGGGAATCGCTGCTTCAAGGATCTTTGGAAAGGGCCATCGCTCAGTGGTAGAGTACATGCTTTGCACACAAAAAGATCCCAGGTTCAATCCCTGGTGTTCCCAGGGAGGGCTGGGAATAACTTTTGCTGGAAAGCTGCTGCCAGTGACCTTAATGAGTCAGTGGTCTGACTTGGTGGATGGCAGGCTTCTGTTTTCAAACGTAAGGAACAAAGCAGATGAGCCACTGGAAAAACATTTTCCTTTTACAAAAAAAGACAGACAGACAGACAGGGAAAAAATACCTGCAAGAGACTTTGATTTTGTTTGGAGTAACAGCCCTTTAGGGATGAGCTGCATGACCCTTTGCCCCAGGCTATTTTCTTGCTCTAAATATCCCCTCCCCAAAATTTGCAACATGGAGGAACAAAGGGGATGCAGGAACTATATTGGTACCTACATTTTTGTCCAGCATGCTAACAGCATCTTTCAAGTAGATGTACATATATGTGATTGATATTGAGGGAAGTGACAAGGGGAAGACAAGGGATAAAGACAAGCACACCAAGACTGTTGCACAGGTTGGTAGTTCCCAATATATTTGGGGTGGGGTTGTTTTTGAAGGCAATGTTTTTGTACATTGATTCCCGAGCAAAAATTGCTTGGGAAAGCAGTCATGCTGCAGCTCACCAAAGCAAACTTGAAAAGGGCCTGCATATATAAAAGTACAGCCTTCTGTTGATAAAGAAACAGTCTGAGAACTGTCAAGCAGTCTCTCCCCCCCCCCTCTGCTTCTTGGAAAAGCGTTAAGCACCTGTCTCTCCAGTGCTGTTGCTCTGAAGTCTCTTGCAGCTGCTTCAATGTGGTTTTTTGGTTTTTTTAAAAGGTAATCTGACCCTTGATCTCCTGCATCACATCTGTTTTGGCCCTAACAAGGGAATACTAGGAAAAAGAGAAGGGAGATGAGGCAGCGGTGGAGGAAGCCACTCGGATGCCTAGGGTAGCACACCCAGGGGCGGGGCGAGCCGGCCATAGGGGTGGGGACTCACCATGGGGCCTCCAGAGTCTTCCTGCCTCCTCCCACTGCCTGCCCTACAGCTGGGGGCAGTGGGCGGACCATTTGGGCAGCATGGAGCCTATGGTCACCCAAGCCACCGAGTCTCTCCCAGGAGAGACACATGGCTCGGGTGTGCTGAAGGCCACGCAGTGAGTGCCGCCCGGCATTTTGTTACACACACCCCTCAGTGATGACACCCAGGATGACTTCACCCCCCTTCCTCCGCCCCTGAGTTGAGGTGCAGGCAATGTTAACCTACAACAGAGAGCAGAGGAGCAGAAGAGGCAAAGCGGGGTATCAAACAAGAGATGGGTGTGAGAAAATGCATTGCACTTACATGTGCTTCAACTTCAATTCCACTAAAGATGATAACTTGAATATTAAGCCTAACAGGAAATAAAAGCTTTCAGAATAAATTTAAAGGCAGAAGGGAAGCTGTAGGCAGAGCTAGCCCACTCAGGAGGTGAGGTGAAGCAACTGCCTCAGACAGCAAGATCCACAGTGGCAACAGATCCGGATGCTGATCTTTATTCCCCCTCTGTTCATGATGTAGATCAGTGTTTCCCAACCTTTTTTGGGCAAAGGCACACTTGTTTGATGAAAAAAATCTTGAGGCACACCACCATTACAGCCCCGTGACGTCAGCGCGCAGCGTCACGCCGGGAGGGAAGGGCGCCGGGGCGCTGCTGCTGCTGCTGCCGCCGCCGCTCCCGGCAGGCATGAGCCCAGCTGAGGCGGCGGCAGCTGTTGTGGTGGTGGCGGCGATAGCGGGCGGAGGAGGGGGCGGCGGCGGGGCCGAGGTGGCCGGCGGCGGGGGGGGGGAGGCGGCGGCGGGTGGAGCAGGAGGGCGGCCGAGGCCGGTGAGGGAGTAGGGTTGCCCGTGGCTTGAGGAGCCGTCGCCGGGAGTTGCTGCTGCTGTTGTTGCTGCTGCTGCCTGGACATGCCGGCCTCCTCCTCGTCCGCTGTCTCGCGCTCCTCCCTTTTGCGCGCGCTGCCCCGCCGCCGCCCCATTGGCCGGGTCCTGTCAGCTGATCCTGTGTTATTTCCTGTGTGTGTGTGTGAGGGGAGAATGGAGAGAGAAACCTCGGCACCACCACCGCGGAGCCGCCCCCGGCTCGACGCGGATCCTCGCCGCCGCCGCCCCGCCTCTCGCCGCCCGACTCGCCCGCCTCCCTCCCACGGCACACCAGGCAACGTCTCGCGGCACACTAGTGTGCCGCGGAACACCGGTTGGGAAACACTGATGTAGATGTTCACTCGCTCCTTTTTCCCTGGTGGGGAGGAGGAATCATTTTGTGATTTGCCTCAGGTGCTGAAATGTATTGGGCCAGCCCTGGCTTTTGGCATCACCTAAGTGTCCTGAAAGGGTTGTTAGTGTCAAAAAAAGGTGCCCAATTCTGCCACTTTATTTAATCTAGGTTTTCCCTTTCAATGAAAATCCAATTAGTCTTATTTAAAAAGGAAAATGAAAGAAAAGAAAGTCTACTGCCATTGTCCCTTTTTGCAATATCTTAATGGCCAATTTGCAATATTAAGCTCCTGTCTAGAAGCACCTCAATGCTGTGAAGTAAAGCTATCCATTTCTCAGCTTTGCACAATCCAAGCAGGGGGAGTCTGAGTCTTAATTATCTCAGTCATGGGTGTAATGTAGGAACACGTTGCCTTGGATCTGTTTCAGTTCGTTCTGCCCAATGATGTGGAAAACTCCTCTTGCATGTTTGAGAACTGTCACCTGTTCTGTGGATCCTTACCCTTCCTAGGTAATGAAATTTGCCAGCTATGGGCTTAGTTTATTTTATCAATTTATTTGATTGATTTCACACCTGCCTTTTACCCTAAGGCTTAACTTCTGCACCTCAGCAGTGGATAATGTTTCTCTGGTGGAGGGTATTGTCCCTACTGCTTTTTTTTAAAAAAGCAATGATTAGATATATTTTAAAGAAAATCAAATTTTGATATTTTGATCTTGGATAACTATTGTTCAATTACTCAGGTTTCATTCCTGAGTATAATATTGGAAAGTGTCATTTTGGATTATATTAATTGACTCAGCTCCAGTCAGGTGTCTGGCCTGCCTTTTCTTTTTATCCTGGTGGATGATTTATGCTCAGGGGCAGAGGAAGGGGGATGCAATGGGTGTCACCACTGAGGGGGGTGACAAAATGCTGGGTGGCACTCACTGCAGGCCTGGAGCGCGCCTGAGCCATGTGTCTCTCTTGGGAGAGACAGGGTGGCTTGGGAGCACTGCAGGCTCCGCACTGCCCAAATGGTTGCCCGCTGCCTCCCCCCCAGCTGTAGGGCGGCTGAGTGGGAGGAGGCAGGCAGACTCCGGAGGCCCCAAGGTGCGCCCCTATGGTGCCTGAGTGGCTTCCTCCACCACTGCTTATGCTGGCATGGGAGTACAGTCCTATAAGTCAGCAGTGTAGAACATTTGGTCCACAGGCCTGATTAGGCCCATTAAGGGTTCTAATTTGTCCCATTTTCCCCACACCATGTGACCTGTCCTACACTTGATGATGACAATAAGGGATAAATAAATAAATAAATAAATAAATAAATAAATAAATAACCAACCACAGGTTTAGGGCAGAGAAAGACATGGCTCCCTGCTAAAAGACATGGCTCCCTGCTAAAAGGTGCTGCCTGATCAGTTGATTGATGGTGCCTTGGTCTCTACAATTTGATTTCAGACCCATGGACAAAGGAAAACGTCATAGTGACATCAAGTGCTTAGTCCCACCCACTGGTCAAAATGGCCCATGGAAGTGCCCGGGGTGGGGTGGGGTAGGGGAGATCAGGATCAGACCTGCCCTGCAGGCTGGGACCAATTTCTCACCCCTGAATTACCTTCTCATGGGCCTTGCAGCTCAGCTTCACTGTAGTCGTTGTTGCTCTGGTTACATCCAGATTAAACTGTGGTGCAGTCTCTACAGGGCTGCTGTTGAACACAGTTTGGAAACTTCCACTGGTGCTGAATATGGCAACCTGTCTATGCTTGCAGATGCTCCATTGTTGACCATTAAAAAAATATGTTTATTTAAATCTGCTGTTCATTGAATATTTTTGTCGGTCTAAAAGGGGGCAGAGGGCAAATTTGGAAATCTAAGGAAATCACAATATACCCAGTTGACCAAAGGAGCACTCATGCTGCTCAGAGTCCCACCCTGCAAACAACTGGGTGGGCAGCAAGGGGTGTGTGTCTAAGGGTGCTGTTAAGGACCCCCGATCTACACCAAGGATAGGCCACCCTTTTCTGTTGATGCCCACATTCCTTTAGGGGCACCTCTGCCTATGGTGCGTGAATCGAGAGTGAGAAAGATGTTCTGGATTAAAGGCTGCCCTCCTTCAATTTCCCCAGCGCTATCTGCAGCGAAGTCACCTCCACCAGCTTTGATGCCTGGTTTCAAGGTTGTATTGATGAGCCGCCTGGAGGGGGCATTTAGCCCTGAAAGGCGGTGTAGAGAGTCCTGTAAACAAACAAACGACGTCGAGGAGGGCCTGATCTACATTGGCTGTGATGATGGTCAAAACCTGATTTCCTTCACGACCGTGTGTATCCGATTCTGTTGCTGCTGCGTTTTGCTGCGCCTGGCGAGGCGGTCGCCGCGTGCCTCGAGCCGATCAGGTAAGGGAAAGTTATCTGCCGTTCAAATATAACTTCGCGACAACCTGCCATCTGCTCTGCCAGCCGCCCTCGGCTCCCCCAAACCCCACCAGGCCAGACGCACAGTAACCCGACTCCCCAGAGCGCGCCGGGCGGCTTCCCTCCGCCTCCCTCGTCGCTCGCTCTCCAGCAACTCCGGCGCGTCTCTGCCAGGCGCACAAACCCGGGAAGGAATGAGCGACAGGAGCGCATCCGGAGGCTGCTGGGGGTGAGTCGTCGGGGCGCTGCAGCAAGGCGCGGTGGGGTGGGGTGGAGGGCGCCCCAAGGGCTGCTTCACGCCAAATGGCAGGAGAGGCGTGTAGGATTAAGGGGGGGGGAGTTGGCGCAGGTGGGGAAGGCGAAAGAAGGGGGCGCAGAGCCGAAGGGAGGTGGCAGAGAGAGACACGCAGAGAGGGAAACGCAAAAAGTTTGGCTACTGTGCACTGCTCCAGACCTTGGAGTCCAATTCGCAACCCTTCCCCCCCCCCAAAAAAAACAAAAAACAAAAACAAAAACCGCCCAACTTTTAATAGCGATGCCTCGGAGTTAGACCACGGTTGGACGTGGGCTGCAGTTGAGATGCATGAAGACAGCAGCTACACACACATACGCGCACCAAAGGTGGCTCGGGGAATGCTACTAAGAGGGAGAAGGGAAACAAGCCCCGCTTTGTTCCGGCGCGCCAAAAGAGCGAAGCAGGCCGTTTGGGGCTTTCCGTTTGCCAAAAGACAAGAGAGAGGCGAGCTTGAGATTTTTCGGCGGGTGGGGTGGGCAAACGGATTACGAGGAAGGGATGCGATCTGCAACAGCAGCAACAACGCAAAGAGGCTTTGGCCAGGGCTCCGCAAGTGGCAAAAAGCGTGAAGGGGCTGGGAGAGTTGCGGCTGCTGCTGTAGCAGCTGCTGCTTCGCGAGAGGGACGTCCAGCAGGCTGCCCGCTCGCCCCCTTGCCACTCGGAGGCCAGTGCCTGGGAGGCGGGGCGAAGCAGAGGCCGTCGCGAGAGTCCTCTGCCGCGCCGGCCCCTTCGGCAGCCTCGGCGGAGCTCGCTCCGTCGTTTCTCTCCTCCTCCCCTGCAATCGCACATGTCTCCCACCGGTGGCCTCCTGCGCCCGGATCGGCACCCTCCGCTCGCCGTTGTGAGTTTGGATTCTGGGTCGCTTCTCCCACCTTCTTTGTAGGCTCCTTTGGGATGAGCTCTGGGTTGATCAATATCTGCGACGGTGTTTCGTTTGTTAGCTTGTTTGGTGCTTTTATCTTTGTTTTGGCAGCATGTATATTCCCTCTCCGCCACACAAGCCGGCGAAGTTTAGTGAGAAAGCCCCACTTGCAAGTCTCCCCTGTTTGCAATATATACAAGGTTTGCTGCGTGCGCGTACGCTCGCGCGCGCTTGGACCCATAACTGTCTAAGCCTGAAACGTTAAACCTAGGCGATCGGCGTCCCCGGAAAGGTCAAGGGCAGTCCCCGTCTTTTTCACCTATTTGGAAAGAATCCTAAAAATATACCGTTGCCAGCAGTTTGTGCTTACTCCGCGAGGTGGCGGCTGGGTCAGGGCAGAGAGGGCGGCCAAGGGACCCGCGACTGCAACTCTCAGGTTTGCGTTCCAGAGGACTCCAGGCGCGGGACCCGAAGGTAAAAAGTTGCGTCTTCCAAATTCTTCTCCCACCTCCAATTTCAAACCCTTTTGGACGCCAGCACGGGCTTGACCCTCGGCATTTGCTGAGGTTTCGAAACCCTGAACGTTTGGCACAAGTAAGGGGGGGGGGAGGATTCCATTCTCGTGCTTGCAAAGATAATATTTGGCTTGTTCTCTTTCGTCCCTCCCCCTCCTACTGGGTTGCTAAGTGGCGCTCAGGGGGAAAAAGATGCAGGCAGGCACACACGCACTCCAGACTGCTGTGCTCTCAGAACTTGCAACCAGGCACAGTTGCTGCCAGGAATGTCTCTCTGTGTGTGTTCATAGTTAGAATTCTCCTCTTCCAGGAAGCATGAACCTGCAGAGGGTGTCATGTCTGTAAGATTGCAACTGGCAACTTGGAGTGGATCTGGCCTCCACAATGGCTTGGAACAGAGGGCCATTAAGGTAGGGAAAGGGAAGGCCTTTCTTAGCCCTCTTCCTTCTGGCTAAACTTTCTGGTGGAAAGAGCTATTGGACTGTGGAACTGACTTCCTCCGAAGGTAGTGGACTCTCATTCATTGGAGGTTTTGAACAGAGGTTGGGTGGCTGTGATTTCTGCATTGCACCAGTTGAACTAGATGACCCTTAGTTTCCTTCCAACTCTTCTATGGTTCCATGACTCCTTGTGCCACTGTTGGGTGCAGGTGTTAGAAACTCAGGTTCAGATCCCTGCTCAGTTGTAAAACTCTGGAGATGATGGAGAATTTGTTGATTTAATTAGTTGAAAGCTTAACTTTTTGTGGGACCTGCTTCCGTTTACTGTCCAGATCAAAAGTTAGTTTATTGTACTGGCCAACTTGTACAGTTAATTTGGCAGGTATCTGAAGTTGTCATGTCATAGCTGGCATGTGATGGATAGTGTAGCAGTAATTATATAACAAATGTGATGTATGCTGTTTATAAGAAGGTATAAAAGCTGTGTAAAACCTGTGGTCATTACAGTACCTTTCACTTACGGGACTGTCCTTTACTGCAGTAAAGTTAATAAAGAAGGGTATCATCTTGCTTAAATATAGGTTGTGTTTTTATTCAATAAATTCCCTACCTGGGGATGAACAGTAATGCTCATGAGTAAATGTCCCAGCAAGATAGAATCCTATACAAGTTTTGCAAAAGTATCTGTAGAGTTCATTGGTTTCCAGTATTTTGAGTATATGACGGCAGTATTAGGATTGCCAACTGTTTAAAAGGCAAAGGGCTCATTTAAAAGTTGTACAGCACACAGAAATTCATGAGGTGAAGCTTTCCCCATCACTTCATCTTTGTACCAGGAAAAGTTTCACCTGCTTGATTTCTGCCTTTCAAGAAGCTCTTAAATGACATGAGGAATTCTGCAAAAGTGAAAGTGATCAACCTTATAAGGTGTTTCCAACTGGTTTTTACATCAAGCATCCCACTATATTCTTTAAGTTGGAACTGAGGCCTTTTAGGAAGTTTTGTTATTTCGTTCCCAATCAGCAAAAAGTTGCTTTTATAAAATCAAAGCTGAGTTAGTGGAATTCCAACAAAGTGTATAAAATGTATAATTCAGAAAAAGATGGTATATCAATCTCTGGAATAAATAAACTTTTTTTTGTGAAAGCATAATGTAAAATACAGTGGTGGATAGCTTCTATTTTGATAATGTTGGTTTCTCATAGAACCATGCCAACAGCTGGAAAGAGAAACTCAAGTATGTGACATGATTTTCTTACTTTGGCAGCAGATCAGTGGCAGGGTTGAGTCTAGTAGGTCAGGCAGGGGAGGATGAAGGCAGGCAGTGAGAGAAGTCAGGAAGAGCAGAGGCATGGAGGTTTAGGCTGAGGAAGCAGAAGAGCCTGTACAGCACTAATCCTAGTTGCTGCACCATCATACCCTAACTGCAAGTGGAAGTCCATAGGGCACAATAGACATCTGTAGGTGGCTTAATTAACTACGTAGCATCAAGCTGGAGTTTCAGGACCTTGGATAGCTCTAATCAGACAACTTGTTTTAGCAAGGTCTGGAGCTCAAATGAAACCTGTATCAGCCTTTGGACACCCTATCCTTTCCATGCTCTGCACCATTCTTGAAGAGTAGAGTGCCTTAAAGTGGTAGTTCTCTGGCCTAGAACCCTGTTGCCTATCAGTCATCTCATGTCTTCTGCATTGCCTGGATTGTGGAGCAAGGACTGGGAAGTGTGAAGTCCCTGCTATAAAGGGAATCTTTCTCCAGGGGTGCTGTCTTGCTATCTCTGGGGGTTCCAGTTTAGGGAGCTCTTGCTGACTTGGCTCTGGTTTGGTTCAAGACTTGTACGGCTTACATTGCTGGCCTTCATGATGTAGCTGGTTCCACTTCTGTTTTACAGCTCAGGGTCAGGGCATTCTCAAGCAAAGTCCTGGCCTTATGAATTTACACTATACAGTGGGGGATATTGCTTCCAAACTGTTCAACCCTTTGGCAGTAACAACCTTGGTTGGCTCCTTGAGATTGTACAGAGATTGTGAAGCCAGAGGCCCTGGGTTCATGTATTTAACTTGCCTATTTGACCAACTAATATACCTGATGCGTGGTGCAATCAAGAAAGTACTGCAGCTGTGCTGCACACAGACTCAAATAACAATTTTAAGGTGTATTTGGATGTTACAGGGAAGAGAGCAGGGAAGGGGAAATGAAAATGACTCATTCTTCCAAAGGTATCCATCAAAAGTGGAGATTGTGCATCTTCTCCCATAGTGATGTGAGGGCATAGTTCAGATAAATGACTGGTTACCATACAATCTCCTGTTGGGAAGATTGTATGGGACGATGGCCAAATCATATAAATGGGGGTGTATATCCCCCTTCTAAAGAGTCCAGGATTGTGGGGGAAGATGTATTTCCTATACTCTCTCCTTGCCCCCCCACACACACACAAAAAAGGAGGGAGAAAGCAGTCTGAGCTGATTCCAGGATTGGGGGTGGGTCACCTTTACTAAACCCCCTTCACTTGAAGGCATAGAAAACAACAATTCTCTCATGCCACTTCTAATTTTTTGGGGTGCTCCATGCAGTTTGACAATGCTGTGCTGTTGGAGAAGTTTCAGGTGTTTACTGGAACCTGGACCTCACCACCTTTGAGAAAGTTCTGGGACATGGTGCACACACTACTCCTAAATGCAGTTTGTGGGTAGCAAGTAGGATTCATTCATCACCTCTTACTCAGTGCTTGATAATTCTGGCATAGCAGAGAGCAGGATCAGATCTGAGAAATCCCAGATATCCTCCCATGGTCATAGCCTCAGCCATGTACAGTATGTAAATGTAGGAAATAACAGTGAGAAATAGGGGAGGCATGTGGTAAATGGAAGTGGGAAGTGGGCACCCTTCCTTCACCCCACTCTTAGCTAGTTATGAATAAATGTTAGCCCCACCTAGTCTGTGACCTTCTGCAGATGATTATGAGTATTTAGAGCCAACCTTGAAGTTACTGGGTCAGCTCCTGATGTTGCTTTGTTTTCCTTTTTCAGTAAGTGCAGACGTCTGTGTAAGTGCGAAGCCATCATGGTGGCATTTAAAGGCATCTGGACTCAGCCTTTCTGGAAAGCTGTTTCTGCAGAATTTTTGGCCATGCTCATTTTTGTCCTCCTCAGCCTTGGCTCTACAATCAACTGGGGTGGAGCCGAAAACCCTCTGCCTGTCGACATGGTCCTCATTTCTCTCTGCTTTGGACTCAGCATTGCAACAATGGTGCAATGCATTGGACACATCAGTGGTGGCCATATTAACCCTGCTGTGACTGTTGCAATGGTCTGCACTCGGAAGATCAGCCTTGCCAAGTCAGTCTTCTATATTGCAGCCCAATGCCTGGGTGCCATCGCAGGGGCAGGAATTCTCTACCTTGTCACCCCCCAGCGTGTGGTGGGCGGCTTGGGAATTACCAAGGTAGGGTAGAGGACTTGGGAGTTCCCTATTCTTATGAAACATAATAAAATGGAACCTGAACCATACAGCACGTTTCCAATTTAAATTCAGGAAGATGCATATTTTTGCTCACTGTTGATTTCCCTACATATTATAGGTGGGTAGATAATATGTATTAGCTGTGGTCAAGTATTAGGTATGGTGGAACAGTTATCTATCGAGCATTAGAATGATGCAATGTGGAGTCTAACGTATCAGTTATTGTGACTGAGAGAACATGATGCATTAATTAAACTTTAATCAAAGACTACAACTGAATTTTATTTTATTTTTTGGCTGATGAAGCTTAAAACAGCTATTGCTTCAGCCAGTTTGCAAAACAAACCATCATTCTTGCCAATATAGTTTCAACTTTGAATTATATTTACACTGGCACAAATGCTCATTCGCATTAAAATGTATCACTTCTGCTTTATCTTGCTTCCGCCAGGCTCTTTATATTAACCTTATGCATGGAAACATTCACTCTTGAGTATAGATTTGTCAGAAGACCAGCATGGATATAAACTGAAAGACTAATACCATGTAAATGTGCTTTAATGTCCTTATTTATATGAACAAAGGAGAAATATGTGGCCAAGGTTAAACAATCTGCAAGAAGATGTTTTGAGAGTGTGCCTTCACATTTGGAATGGCTTCTCGTGTGATTCACACTGCTATCTTTTAATGAAAAGGGTGATCTCTTGATAGTCATCCTGTGGTGGAGACTGACATGGAACCCATTTCCATGAAAGGGTTTAGCATATGCTTGGCAAACTGTTTTTCAAAAATCTTGATAGGCAGGCTGCCAAGGGCTTCATGAATCCATTCATAAGAACAGATTCCATGTAGCTCTCCATAATTAAGTGAATGCTAAAAATCTATTTCATGAGAGCAGGGTTGGTGGGGAGGCAGCTTGCGTAAGCTTTTAGTGAAGAGTAGGTGGTATTTATTCTTTAACTCAAAATAACAGTGCAATTTTATGTAAATGCCTTTGATTTATCCTACTGACAGCCTTTTCTTTACACCCAGCAATTGTTCTCTAATAGATATTTTCTTTTAAAAACTTTTTGGAAATGATTTAATACCAGGTACATAGCAGCCAGGTGTGAAATGCAATTTTAAGATGAAAACATGGGAGTGTCGAAATCTATGTCATTATTATAGTGACTGATAACGCCATATATTTAAGATGACACACTTCTTTATAATAGACTGTGCCTTAAATTCTAGTTTCATTCTCCACTAATAAAGAATCCCATCAGTTAGCCTCACTGAAGGAAATTAAAATGCACTTGGGCTGCATGCTGCCTACTTTTAATTGAAACTGAAATTAATTGAGTTAGAGCTAATTAATGGATTTATAATAGAACACTAAACTACAGTCCTCCTAAGGAAAAAAAGAAGCCTTTCATTTCTTAAGTATATCATGTGAACATCTAATGGAAAAACCAGCGCTCTACCCTTATATTCTCTATATGTATATAGCAGACTGCATCTTGTGCTAGGCCAAATCTTGTATGTTTCTGCCATATATGACAGTGACTAAACACCCAATTCTGTGGCTTGCTGCAGCAGCGCAGAATTGCTTGTGTCAGAACGTGAAGAACTATGTCACTTTGACATTTGAAAAATGGACACCACATTAGTACCACAGCTACACAATGTTGCACAGGGACACGGGTGGCGCTGTGGGTAAAAGCCTCAGGGCCTAGGGCTTGCCGATCGAAAGGTCGGCGGTTCGAATCCCCGCGGCGGGGTGCGCTCCCATTGCTCGGTCCCAGCACCTGCCAACCTAGCAGTTCGAAAGCACCTCCGAGTGCAAGTAGATAAATAGGGACCGCTTACTAGCGGGAAGGTAAACAGCGTTTCCGTGTGCGGCTCTGGCTCGCCAGAGCAGCGATGTCACGCTGGCCACGTGACCCGGAAGTGTCTCCAGACAGCGCTGGCCCTCGGCCTCTTGAGTGAGATGGGCGCACAACCCTAGAGTCTGTCAAGACTGGCCCGTACGGGCAGGGGTACCTTTACCTTTTTTTACACAATGTTGCTATGAGAGCTGCAAAAAAAAAAAATCAGACTCACAGGGAGCTAAAATAGTGTCACTCATGCCAGAGCACAACCTTGGTCAACCCAGAGATCACCCAGCCTGTCCTGTATCCAGTCCTGAATCAATTCAGGGATGGGACTGTGTTTAATGAAGTTGTTTTTAAAAACCCCAAAAACTCTTATTAAACTTACAGCCAGGAGCACAGAGGAAGAGGCACTGTGTTGCCTTCCCCTCACACACACTGAGAACAAGAGAGTTAAAGTCCCCCCTCCCCATATTCCTCCCTGCCAGGCCTTGCAGCCTATTCTCAAGGCCCCATTGCTATAGCAACCTCCCAGACCTTCCTCTGCTACAATGGCGCCCTGCTTGATTCTCCCATCACTGCTGGTCTCTGCAGCAGTGGTAGTAGACCTGGGCAGTCACTGTGGCAACAGGGCCTGGTGGTGATGGGATTCTGCAGGGCACTCCTTCACAAGAACCTTCCTTGACAGGAAGAAGCTTGTAAAGGAACTCTGCCATCCTGCAGTACTGAATCCTCTGCTCAGGACCAAGGATTGTGGAGGACTATGTGGGGTGCTGCTTTGCAAGCCCTTTCCCAACTCGACCTAGGCCCAAATCCCCCCCAAATCAGCCTGATTAGTCTCAAGATTCAACCAAATTTGGTCCAGAGCCCTGTCCAGCACCACCACATGGTCTACCCTTTAAGGAAGGACCAGAACCATCAATAAGCAGTGCTTCCCAGCACTATCCTAGTCAGAGGCACAAAGCTGTCGTTTCAAAGGTTTTAAATTAATACAATATGATCATCAACAACAACATTATTTATTCAATTTCTTACCTGTTGTTCACCAGGGCAGCTTACAGCAATATAAAAATACAACAGTAAAATCTGTTAAAACAATCTTCTCCCTCCTTTTCCTTTTCTTCACTAAAGACACATCCGATTTGAAACGGCTTTAATTAGTAGAGAGGAAATTATATTTTCCTGATGTAAGAAAAGTAGTTTACACCTTTTTTGTGCTTCCTGAAACTCCAGTGTGTTTCCTTTATTTCTAGGTACATGATGACCTTTCTGCTGGCCATGGACTAGTGGTGGAGCTGATAATTACGTTCCAGCTGGTCCTTACTATTTTTGCCAGCTGTGATTCTAAGCGAAGTGATGTCACAGGTTCAGTGGCACTGGCAATTGGACTTTCAGTTGCAATCGGACACCTGTTTGCTGTAAGTTGCCTGCCTCTTCCATGAGCTGTGCTAGGGAGCTAATGGTAAAGTGCATGTCATTACAATGCTTTATGAATCTTACTCCAAAACCCACTGTTGGCTCAAGTAAATTTGATGTAATGCCTATATATCCCCAAGTACCTTTCGACTAACTTGCTCCAAAACATTGACTCCCTGCTTTGAAATGATATTATTGTATATGTGAAATAGGAATAATCCTCGTTTGTCTCACAGGAGACACCGATAAGGTGTGATAGAAATATTCCTGAAGCAAACATATAAAGTCAGCGTACCTAGACATCTTGTTGGGACCCTTTCAGATTGGTGCTTTATTGTGGATGCATTCTGTGACATGTTTGTAACATTATAATAGTGGTGGATTTATTCTGCTTTAGTCTGTTCTGCTTTAATCTGTTCTGCAATGCTTCCCCAATGTTACCACATTATTGCCTTCCAGGGGGCCTATAGAGCTACAAAACCAGGACAAAAATAAACCAGAATGTTTTTGGTATAAGAAGTGACAGGATTTCAGCACGAAATTAAGGAATATGCATGGCTTGGAAATGAAGCTCATTGCAATAGCACAGTTGGGTTATCAAGCAGGGGTTGTCAACCTGGTCCCTACCGCCCACTAGTGGGCTTTTCAGGTTTCTAGGTGGGCGGTAGGGGGTTCTACAGCAGAAGCTGAATCCTCCTCCCATTGAGCACTGGTGGGCGGTAAGGAAATTTTACCATCAAGAAAGATGCATTGGTGGGCGGTAGGTATAAAAAAGTTGACTACCCCTGGGTTAGAGTGGGGTGCTGATAACGCCAGGGTTGCAGGTTTGATCCCCATATGGGACAGCTGCATATTCCTGCATCACAAGTGGTTGGACTACATAGTCATAGATAGTCCTTTCCAAATCTACAATGCTATGATTCTATGACCACCCCAAAACCTTTTCAGGAACTAAAAGTATGGAAAACAAGGTCATTTGTGACCAACTCAATAACATCAAGAGCACAAATCACCATGAATGTGCAATTAAAAGGGCATTTGGAGGGACCCTAGGTTGCTTATAGAATTTTTTAATTTCTTGATAACAAATGACTAACACATTTAGTAAATAGTAAAGGTAAAGGTAAAGGTACCCCTGCCCGTACGGGCCAGTCTTGACAGACTCTAGGGTTGTGCGCTCATCTCACTCTATAGGCCGGGAGCCAGCGCTGTCCGGAGACACTTCCGGGTCACGTGGCCAGCGTGACGAAGCTGCTCTGGCGAGCCAGCGCAGCACATGGAACGCCGTTTACCTTCCCGCTAGTAAGCGGTCCCTATTTATCTACTTGCACCCGAAGGTGCTTTCGAACTGCTAGGTTGGCAGACGCTGGGACCGAACGACGGGAGCGCACCCCGCTGCGGGGATTCGAACCGCGACCTTTCGATCGGCAAGTCCTAGGCGCTGAGGCTTTAACCCACAGCGCCACCCACGTTATTTACTATTTAATAGTAAATAATCAAATAACAGTGTGTACATACAGGTGTTTGGTAGGCATAATTGTGTGACACCCACACTGTGCACATTTGTTCTACATTTTGAAAAGTGTTATATAAATCTAGGCCCACCGGCACATTTTGTTTTTTGAGTGAGTGCCATGCGTACTCCTCCAGTCACTTCTACCCACCCCAGATTACCCTCCCCCACTATGCTGTGCAAAAGGGTGCAAGGATGCACACACATACTTCTCTTTTCCAAGAGATCTGGGTAAAAGTTAGATCCGGCAGAATTAATCTGAGCTTTGAAAAGCACATAGAGATGAAGAAGAAAGTTGGAAAGAGTGTCCATATTCCATGAAGTATGAATAGTCCAGAGGGATGCTCACAGTCCTGGAAAGCATCTCCTAACAGTCCTGTATCCTGGTTCCCATTGCTGTCTCTGGCTCATCGCTTCTGGACTGGCATGAATCTTGAGGATAGACATCAGCAACTGGAGGTCCATGGGCTAGAACTGGCCCACTGAGAAATGTTTCCTATCCCCATTAGCTGCCAACCAGGTGGGGGGAAGAATGCAGAGAAAGTGGCAATAGTGACTTGGGCAATAGATCTAGAGCAATGCCAGTCATAAGCTGGTTCCATCACAAGATCATTAAAACATGTGGATGTCTGATGGTTGTATAATAATGATTAACAGTCTTCCTTTTAAATATCTTGCAGATTAACTACACAGGTGCCAGCATGAACCCTGCTAGGTCATTTGGACCTGCAGTTATCATGGGGAAATGGGAAAACCACTGGGTAAGTGAATATACCTGGATGCTTCTCATTCACTCATGCATGATTTAGCAATGGCCACCAACCTGCTGGTTTAGGATTAGACAAATTTGTGGAGGACAAGGCTCATCTATGGCTTCCTCCACCATCAATAGCAGTATTATTACCATCGTGTATTTTGTTTATTTCAAAAAAATTATATACTACTTTTTTGTAAAAACAAACCCACATGTTACAAGATGAGTCAAAGTGAGACATTACCTATATTAAGTTTGATTCTGTATTGAAACAGAGTCAATGCAATCTATAAGAACTTGTACTTAAACAGGATGCTCCTACAAATGTCAGTTGTCTCCTATAACTAACTGATGTAATTAGATAGATTTCAGAAGGTTCTGCTGGAATGCCATCATAGAACCTTAGCTGTGTCTTCATGAGTGTATGTTTCTAGGCTTGCTTTCAATTGCTCACCAGATTTCCTTTCTTAGTGTTAGGAAACTGCTGAGATATGCTGGCAACATAAGTGCCAGTTGAAATAAATTAAAAAATTGTCCAGTAGCACCTTAGAGACCAACTAAGTTTATTCTGGGTATAAGCTTTCATATGCATGCTTATACCCAGAACAAACTTAGTTGGTCTCTAAGGTGCCACTGGACAATATTTTAATTTATTTCAACTGCGTCAGACCAACACTACCTGAATCTAAGTACCAGTTGTTTGACTTCAGGTGTTTGTATTGTTGTGAGTTTGGGTGGTGGATAGGCTATATGCCTGAGTCACTTCCAAGAAGGATCCACTTTCTTGAATAGCCAGACAAGTTTCTTGGTAATCATCCACTAAGTATGGGTTGTTAAGATAACAAAGGAAGTGGCTCCATGGCAGAGAGTAGATGGATGGGCCTCACTGCCTCAACTGTTAGTTAGTTAGAAAGACAAAGGCATGAGTTGAGGCATGTGAGCTAGAAGCTTGAAGCAGGAGGAAGCTGGCTGGGAAGCCTGAGAGACAGAGCCATGCCTGATTTCTGCTGTAATCCAAGGCTGTGATTATTGGGAGAAAAAAGACCCAGTTGGGTGTTAATGCTGTGAACCCCTCCATCATAGGCTAAGGTTGTATATATGTGTAAATAAACTGTATATCCTAAAGACACCACAGTCTCCGCTGTCCCTCATTCCAAGGAAACCAAACCCTAGGTAAGTGCCTGGAACTGCTGGAATCTCACACCACTCAGCGGTTGGGGTGGCGTGCAACAGTGTGTTGTATTGATTTAGTTTCATCCAAAGCTATTTTATGCTGATTGATTCATGAACAAAGGCATTGCTGATACAAATGACAAAGCATCATCCAATCAGAATTCAAGAGAATACTAGCTATTCTTCAGTCAGCCTAATTAAGGTTCTTGGGTGTGAGTTTATCTTTCTGTGTCTGTATGTGCTCCTATGCCTATAAAAGACGCAGCATTCCAGGTATTTATAAAACATCTGTTCATGTGGCTTGGCTGAACACGTGTGTTCACATACTGTGCCAGCAAAGCCTCTGATGTGCCATTTACACATCCAAGCCCTGCTAAACTGGGAAGGTTGTTAAGATTTCCTGTAGCACCAAATAAGAGAAGCACCAACTATGCTAACCTTGGTAACACCCAACTTCCTTATTGGACTCTTGACATTTCTTTGAAACGGTACTCCCAATCCTTGCTTAATGTATGTTTCTTTCTCCCTGTTGTGTACAGATATATTGGGTGGGACCAATTATAGGAGCAGTTCTTGCTGGCGCCCTTTATGAATATGTCTACTGTCCTGATGCTGAATTCAAACAGCGGCTCAAAGAAGCGTTTACGAAAACAAGCCAGCAGTCCAAAGGGAAATACATAGAAGTTGAAGACACCAGGAGCCAGGTGGAGACAGATGATTTGCTTCTGAAGCCTGGAATGGTCCATGTCATTGACCTTGAGAGGGGTGATGATAAGAAGGGTAGAGACCCAACCAATGAGGTGCTATCATCTGTATGACTAGCAAGGAGCACTGAAAGCAGGGAACAGTCTACTAGCAGGCCCACAGATAGCCTTCCACCCATAAAAGAGACAGATTTGTTGTAAATTAGTCACCTGCGACACCATAAAATTGTAGGAAAATGGCAGCAGTGAATTAGCTGTTTAATCAGACCAGACTCCCATTCTGTTGACATGGTAGCAGCTAACTGTGTTGAGGGATCCTCATAGATTATTCCAAATTCATAAATGTCCTTTTGGCAATAGCCATAAGGGAATCCTTTTATTCCCTCTCTGCTTTCTGAGTGAATTTTGAAAGAGGCATTGGTTTTAACGCAAGCAGTTATGAGCAGGAAATAGCAATCTTCGCCAATCAGATTGACAGATGAAACTTATCAAAAGATGCCTATAGACACAGAAAGAAGTGTCTATCAGATTGTTCTTCTGACACTTAATTGGCTGTTGTCAATCCTGATTAGAATTTTAATGACAAAGTCTATGGCAGGTTCAGTGAAAGCAGAGCCAACATGCAGGATACAACAAATGCTTGCAAAAGCCTCATTCATCCCTTTCTTCTAGTCCTCCTGTTATTTTTAATCCTTCCATGCTACATTTGGGAGAAGACATTTAAACAAAACAAAACAAAAAAAACCAAGAATTGCCATTTGCCATTTTATATCTACTACATACTCATACATTTTATACTTCCACAAAAAAGGAAGTCCTCTCCTTTTGACTCATAATCTTTAAAATGTCCCCCACATTGAGTTGTCCTTCCACAAAAACGTTCTCATGACATACTATTGCCAGAACTGTTGAAGACATACAATGAACAAAATAAGTCTGTATTATACGCCATCTTGTAATGTGTGCATTCCAGCCAAAGTTAAGCCCTGTGAATTCCAGATACTTTTACCAGGAGGCATTTATACACAGCTTAACTTTCCCAGTGACATCAGTGGGACTTAACAGTGGTTAACTTTGGGTGGATCATGTCAAATAAAAATACGCAGGTATCAAAAAGAAGTTGAAGGCTGTTCTGTTTTCAGTGCACTTATTCAAACAAATAAAATGTTACTGTGCCAATTTTATATAACTGAAATGTTAAAAATGTGTAACTATTTTGCTCACAGTGTGATTTTTTTTTTAAAAAAAAGCATAACAAGCAGGCTTTTCATAATTATTTAAAATACTGCTGGGAAATGCTTTGGTGACTGATGCTTTGCTTTGAATACTCTGTCGCTAAAAAGATTTGTTTTAGAGCTGCGTCAAACACAATGCATTTCCTATCTAAAAACCTCTACATCCAGGCAAACTGCATGTAGATTTCCAAGTGTGACAGTCACAGACATGTCTGTTCCACTGCTTGCACTCAGTGTACATAGGCCAGAAAGCCATTGTCAACAGAGATGTGTGCAATTGTTGCATGATCTCCATGCAGTTATAATATCAATGAAACAGTTAAATAGCAACTGTGAATTTTCAATGCATCAAGAAGCCAGGGCATGGAATAGCTTGCAACTTTGTGTGATGTTGTGCTGCTGAATGGTGAGTTTGACTTTTATAAACTACAAATGCTTTTGGTCAAAAAGGAGTAACGTTTACACTTTCTCTGAATGTTGCCAGAACTGAAATTTGCTATAGCTGAGGTTCTTTGTATGGAACTCATCCATTCCTATTAAGGTTTTTGGTGGTGAAATGTGGCGAATGTACAGAACCACCATGAGAACACCTGGTCTTGTAGAAAAAGGACACTATACTAGTGGTGAATATTTCTAAGTAGGGAGAAGTACATAGATAATCTTATGCACATGAAACACGACGTGATAAAAGAAATATACACTTCTTCCTCTACAGAAGAAGTAACGCCCATCTAACAAAATTGCCCAGTGTGCAGCACAAAAAAGGAAAGAACTGAGCATATAGCAAAGCCAAAACAAAGAAATCCAACTAGGGCTGTGATCCTAAGCAAACCAAGTTACTTCCTAAGGAGTAAGCCTTGTTGGGTTTAGTGGAACTTCTGAGTAAAAAGACATCATATTGTGCAGTAAAATTCACCAGGTCTGCCAAAGGGAGACCATATGAAGAAAGATACTAATGCCCTGATGGGTGCTGCTGCACTCAGATCCCTCTTGATGGCTTCCCATAGGCATCTAAACAGTCTGGTGAGAGCAGGATGCTGGACCACATGGGTCATTGGCCTGATCCAGCAGACTCTTCTTTTGTTCTTAGAAAATAAACTACTGTGTATTTTGTAAGCATTGCAAGCCATCTGATGGTCATAAGGTAGTGTACAATTAAGTTTATATGTGAATAGATGCGGCAATGAATCATTACCCCAATCAAGATGTCCATGTGTGTCCCAACGCACACCTAGAGCTGTTCCATTCATCTGTGGTGCAGCACCTCAGCAAACAGAAAGAGATGTGCACGGAACTCTCAGTGAAAATGTCTAGGGAAGTTCTGTGGACAACATTAGAGCTCATTACTCAAGAGCAAATTACTGGTTCAAGATCAAGTGTCTTGTGATTTTGACGTATTACGTTTTTCCTTATCTTGTTCAAGAGAGAGATCAAAACAATACCTTTTTAGTCACCATTTCCAGGTGGAATCTCTGTAATTTCAAAGTTTACAATAACTCTCTTGCCAATGCTCAATATGTGAACCCTCGGTGTCTTTCACAACCTTAAAAGTCAGAAAGATTCCTCAGCCAATGTAATATAGAATCCTGGAAGTAGATACAGAATTTTCATTTCACTAGTGATGTGAACTTCACAAGTGTCCTTGGTTGTATTTCTCAACATGTTTTGCACTGGTGTAACAGTTACTCTTTGGTTATACACTGAAGCTCCACTTCATAAATATATGGCTGTACTTTCCCTCCTAAGCCTTTTTGCTTTAAATTTGTATTTTGGTAATGTTTCATCAATGCATGTTTATAATTTACATTTTGTTAACTCACTGACTGTGATACACTTAGAGGCTATTTCAGTGGCTTATTAAGATGTCTTACAAACTGATGTAACATGTGAGTCTCATATTTGAGATAGTGTTGTTGCCATGTTGTTCATAGCAATCACTAGATGCAAAGCAAATCATTTAGAGACTGCTACAGCTTCACATACCCTCATCAACAGAAAGACCTGATAGTTTATCCCACTTTGTGTACCATACCAGGCCAGCATGAAGTCATAGAAATTATTCTGAAAGAGATGCTTTATACTCACAGCTGCCTTTCTCCTAGCTTTTCTGCCTTAAAATAAAAAATCCTCCAAATAATTTGAAATTTGGATGCTGAAAGTACCCTAAGGACTTTGTTGTGTGTGTGGGAAAGAATAAATTGTGTATAGTTGTACACATAGTTTCTAGTGTGGTACTGGCAGAAATGGCAGCATGAACATCACCTTTGTAATGTTCTTGTTTTGATTTTTTGCCGTTCATATACAGCAATTCCCTACGAAGTTAATTGCCATAATCATTTGCATATGTTTCAGTTGAAATGTTTGGTACAAAAGGCAGCAATTTTACTTGGAATGTTATCTGTTTGGAGAAAGCATGCCAATTTCCTTTGCTAGTTTCGGGAGCATGTGGATTAAGTAGGGGAAGCATTGTCTTCTGCTTCTCACTCCGCAACTGAAGAGTCAAAAGAATCTTCATCGTGAATGTGGAAAGCTGTAATAAATAAAATGAGGTGTCACAAAATATTTCATTCTGAAATCTCAGGTGCATATCCAGAATCCAATTTATAAAAGCCTATTAAGGGCTGCACGAAGGATAATCTATCACTTGTAGGACCAATGATAAGGGCTAAACTAGTAAACATACTAAACATATGGCCATTAAAAAAAAGTTATTACAAGTTCATTCAACCTTATCAGAACTGATGTGATAATAGTATTATAAATCAAAATGTGTAACATTTGGAATAATCTACTTAAGATGTCCTACTGTCAACAATAGAGTTTTATCTTGTTCCTCTTCTCTTCTGCTGTATTCTTTATGGTTATGTCTTGTAAATAAACTATTGTCTGTTTTGATTCATCCCTGCATTTTCTTCTTGAAATGCATTTAAAATGTTATAAAGACGTCAGATATGAACGCTGACAATTAGGTGTCATGATGAATAAATGTCATTTTGATAAGGAATGAATAGTTGCAGGTTGTGGGTTGGAATAATATTCCAAAGGGGTTCGTGACGGAAACTTTAGGCTCTTTAAGGCAGGGATGGGTGAACCTCAGGCCTGGGGATTGTGTGTTGCCTTCGGAGCCTCTCTAGCCCTCAAAACTCTTTGCTCACAGTTTCACACTCTGAGTGTGCCTGGCTGGAATGTGCCCTTGGACTCTAATAATGCCCCTAGATTGTCTAGAGAGGATACATAGGGTTGTGTGGATACATAGGTCAGCAGAAACTGACCTGCTGCACAAAGGTAAAATTTACATTTTCCAATGAGTAAAGTCAGACCTCTGATTGCCAAGTGAGTTGTTTGGACACTAGGGGAGAGATAATCCCTCTGGAGAGGGTAGTTTGTCCGCCACTGGTCCCCACCATGCACTCAGCTCTACCTGTGGCTCCTAGAAGCAGTCAGCATGTAACAGCAGCCACACCCCAGGAAATAGCTTTGACTGGCTGGCTAAACCAGGTGAGGGTAGCTGATGGGTCTCAACCCTTTGGTGATAGTCAGTGTAGTCCAAAATATCTGGAGTGCACCAGACAGATGAATGTTGAATTAAGGTATCCTAGGAAGACCACTCTTCTCTGCCATAAACTTGCTACCTACCATTTTACTGAGATGACCCTGCATTATTGTATTTTGAGTGCACAATTTCGTCCATGTCATCTCAGGGTTCATCTCAAGTCTGCTTTCGATACTATCCTTCCTATTGCAGTTGTCCACAAGGAAGGTTATCCACTGCCCAAATATTTATTTGCCTTTTCATTGTGCCTTCTCAAACTCTACAGTGGTCTTCGATCTGTTGCACAGCTAAGCTCAGTTAATACCTCAGAGAAATCAGTGGGATTTGTAGGTCCTTAATTCTACTGTGTTACATCCTGCATCTCTTGGGGGAACATGAATTTATCGAATGTTCAAATATTGTGCCATTGTTGTACATATAAGGCATGTGCCCCCTTTTCTCTTTATGCTTCAGTGAAGTCCAGCTATTCTGTGCATGTTATGTGAACTGCTATTTGTCAAAAGGGTCACTTTTGTTAATCTGTGGAGGTGAGGCTTACTCAAGGTTCATTTGGTTTTCTCAAAAATCCTTTGTTAATTCAGATCATAAGTCTACTCTGCTCTATCCAGGATTTGCATCATTTCCAGTCTTGTGACCTTGGAGATGCTTAACTGAGGACTCTCTGTATATGGATGAGAAAGTGCTCATCTGAGTGGTCAATTAGATGTTACAGCAACATCATCATGCCTTATTCCAAGAAATCAAATTGAGGCTGTATGTGTATGCTGTTCATGCCCCTGTTTTTAAAGGTTAAGATACAATGATTGTGATCATTATAATATTGGGTCGCTGGGCAGGTTTCAGCAATTTAAAAATGCAATATTAAAAACCATTTAAAACAAATTACAGGCAACCCCTTATTTGCATGGGGCTTGCATTCCAGATCATTGTGTTCTTGCATGAAATCGCGTGCCATTGTAACACCCCATTCCATCCTGTTTCATTCCTGCTCTGCATTGCTCCCGCCCCGCCCATTTAATGACAAATTTAATTACGTTTCTGGGTTTGGCACTGTGAGTGTGTGTGTGTGTGTGTGATTGTGCACATATCAATCACTCCTAAAATGGAGGGGTTACCTGTATATCTGAGATGTCAAAATCCCAGATAAAGAGGTGTGTCTTCAACATATGGTGGAAACTGCACAGTGAAATTATCAGACACACTTCTGTTGGAAGGGAATTCCACAATTTAGGGGCTGCCACAGAAAATGTCCTCTCCCAGGCTGCCACTCTCTGAACCTCTGAGGATGGTGGAATTACCTAGAGGGGCCCCCTCTGTTGGTCTTAACACCTGAGAGTCGGCCTGTAGGAAGGGACGTTGTTTTTCAGATAGTCGGGGCCTAAGTCATTTAGGGCTTAAACACTAGGGTGAGCAGCTTAAACTGGACCCAGAAACAAACTGGCATCCAATACAACTGCTTTAAAACAGGAGTTATAGGAGTTGTAAATGAAACCCCAGCCAGTAATCTGGCTGCTGCATTTTGGACCAGATGAAGTTTCCAAGTCCTCTCTGAGGGCAGTATATAGTGCATTGGAGTAATCCAGTCCGGAAGAACTTGGAATATGTAACACAACTTTCTTTTCAGAATTCAGCTTCACTTTAATAACCCACATCCCTCCCACCACTGCCTCCAAACACCAGTTTAGCACCAGCCCTTGATCTAAAAATGGAGGCATGTTCCCTGGGCACCAAACAGCACCCTATCCTGAGACTGGAAAAAATGGTTCTTGTTATATATTCCTTGGCAAGTTATTTATTTTGTGCAAGTAAATTCTAGCTAGCATAAAATCCTAACAGCATCAATGACAAGGAAACACATTTTTCATATATGTCAACAGGGCATAGCTATCATTCCCTGCAGAAGCTGGCCTTGAACTTGGATGGAATCATCTGTTCCCAAAGGGTGAACCTTTTGTATTGAGAAAAGACAGGAAAACACTAAGTTGCCACAAGAAACAAGAAACTTCTCTTGGCAACTCTTTAGGGGCCAACTGGAAAGTGGGAGGGAAAAGGGCATTTCATGGTGTGGTAAGTTGTCCCTGTAAACCTCTGAGCACATGCCCAGGGACAACACTTTAGAATAAAGACTTAATGTGTATAGAGATGAAACATGACAGGGTAGGGACAAAACAAGTTACAGAGATCAGGAAAACGTTGGGCTGTGATGCCATTTGCCTGGTGGTGATGCTTCAGAGAAACAGCTGCACAACATCTTCTCAGAGCTAATTTGGACCAGCTGCATCGCAAACAGGAGACCTACAAGCAAGGACAAATGTTTTCCAAAGCACTTATGATTTCTCACTCTCTACACAGCTGTCCAGAACAGTTCAAGTTTACTGACTGGCACACACTGCTAGGGGACAAGAGGAAAGCTTCTGTAGCCTCCAGACTCAAATCTGAGCATGTTGCTCTGTGGCTTACAACCTTTTATATCTGAAAAAAATGCCTAAAACAGAAATTGGGGGACAGCTGACCACAAGGGAAGGAGGAGGTCAAAGAGTCCATCTAGGCACATCCCTCAAAGTAATCAAGTCCTCAAGCTACCCTTAGAAATGGATGCCGCAGATACATTTCTCCTTGTGTGGAAAGATTCCAGTTGTCAGCAGCACCAGTATTATTTTTTCTTCTTCCTTTTGTAGGAAATGATGATGCGCTTGTAACACTCTCAGGGACTGGATACCCTTTCCCCTCTAGTTGTGCTGTTAGATATTGGGAAATCTCATTTTCCAGGCATCCATGCAAAACCTGGCATGGGTGTTAAGTTAAAAAGAGATTCCTAGCCTTCATTGCCATTGAGATTGCTGTGGTGGTCTTGGAGAGTGCCTGTGACACCACAGATGACAAGAGGCACAGCTCCACCATTCCTTAACATTCTTCATGTGCAGTTTGTGTTTGTATATAATTCTCTCCCACCACCATCTGTACCACATGGTGGCTCACACAGCCCTTGAATGGGGAGGGACAACCCATTGCAAACATGAGCAAGGCCACCTACAGGAATGCGTGGTCATTTCAGATTGTTTCCTACAGGTTTTATGAAAGATATGCATGTTGTTCTCCCACAATGTGACTGTGCACACACAATATCTTAAAAGCCTATTTGAAGCCCGTTCTTTCCATCAAAGAAATCGCTGCTGCCGCTTTGCCGGTGAGTCTTGGGGAGGACCGCCCCCCCTGCAAGCCCATTCTCCACCTTGGGCCTGGGGGCGGGCCCCATACTCCACCTCAGCACACAAGGCTCCAAGGAGGCCTCGGGACATCGCTGCTGCCGCTTTGCCGGTGAGTCTTGGGGAGGACCGCCCCCCTTGCAAGCCCATTCTCCACCTTGGGCCTGGGGGCGGGCCCCATACTCCACCTCAGCACACAAGGCTCCAAGGAGGCCTCGGGACATCGCTGCTGCCGCTTTGCCGGTGAGTCTTGGGGAGGACCGCCCCCCCTGCAAGCCCATTCTCCACCTTGGGCCTGGGGGCGGGCCCCATACTCCACCTCAGCACACAAGGCTCCAAGGAGGCCTCGGGACATCGCTGCTGCCGCTTTGCCGGTGAGTCTTGGGGAGGACCGCCCCCCCTGCAAGCCCATTCTCCACCTTGGGCCTGGGGGCGGGCCCCATACTCCACCTCAGCACACAAGGCTCCAAGGAGGCCTCGGGACATCGCTGCTGCCGCTTTGCCGGTGAGTCTTGGGGAGGACCGCCCCCCCTGCAAGCCCATTCTCCACCTTGGGCCTGGGGGCGGGCCCCATACTCCACCTCAGCACACAAGGCTCCAAGGAGGCCTCGGGACATCGCTGCTGCCGCTTTGCCGGTGAGTCTTGGGGAGGACCGCCCCCCTGCAAGCCCATTCTCCACCTTGGGCCTGGGGGCGGGCCCCATACTCCACCTCAGCACACAAGGCTCCAAGGAGGCCTCGGGACATCGCTGCTGCCGCTTTGCCGGTGAGTCTTGGGGAGGACCGCCCCCCTGCAAGCCCATTCTCCACCTTGGGCCTGGGGGCGGGCCCCATACTCCACCTCAGCACACAAGGCTCCAAGGAGGCCTCGGGACATCGCTGCTGCCGCTTTGCCGGTGAGTCTTGGGGAGGACCGCTCCCCCTGCAAGCCCATTCTCCACCTTGGGCCTGGGGGCGGGCCCCATACTCACCACCGTCACAACTCTAAGGACACTGCTGCTGCGGCAGCAAATGTTTAAACGTTTTATATTTTTTAAAGTGTTTTAAAAGTGTTTTTACTTATTATTTTGTTGTATCACCAGAAACGGTGGTTTTTTATCCATGTATTTTTATTTTGTTTTGTTTTATTTTGTGTTGGGA